GGAGGTGTAAAAAATCAATCGCTATAAAGGATACTATAAAAGTTTTGCAGGAACTGACGGACGCAGGAGGATGCATGTTGAGACATGTCCTTGAGTGCATAGTAGCAACCAGCAGCACGTCTGTTGATTTATTCGTTCATTCGACCTGCGACCAAAGTCAAGAATGGACACTTGGTACCTCCACCATGACAACGCGCCAAAGGCTGCACCGAGTATTTGACCACTAGTAGACTGAAACTTATCGAGCACCCTCCCTGCAGTCCAGATCTTGCTCGCTGCGACTTTGCACAGTTTTTACTGTCGTACTGATGAGTCTCGAAAAGGACGAAACACCGAGATCCAGAAAATATACTAAGTGGCATATAAATCCGAACACCCAGTTTAAATGGTTTTATTTTAATAAAAGTTGGTGAATGTATTTATCTTACTGTAAATAACAAGTGAAAAAATGTTCAGCCTTAGACCTATTGGCATGCGAAGTGTTTACCGACGAATGAGAAGTTTTGACTTGTTTTCATACCGGCCACACTGGGTCCTCCCTTTAACTCGAGAACACCGACCTAATCGCCTTGAGTGGTGCAGACAACGGTCACTCTGGGATCAGGAATCGAACAGTATTGTCTTTAGTGACGAGTCTCGATTTTGTTTAGGCATGCACGATGGTCGTGCCAGGGTTAGAAGGGGACGTGGTGAAAGGAGGAATCCACAGTTTTTTGTTGAAAGACATGTTCATCACACTGTTGGAGTTATGGTTTGCGGTGCTATAGCTTATGGTTCCAGGTCACCTTTAATCTTCATCAGAGGTAACATGAACGCGCAGCGTTATATCCACGAAGTTCTAGAACCCCATCTTTTACCCTATCTTGACACCCTGGCAGATCCAACTTTCCAACAAGATAATGCCCGACCACATGTTGCAAGAGTCACAATAGACTTCTTTCAACATAATGATGTCACATTGTTACCATGGCCACCAAGATCTCCCGACTTATCCCCAATTGAGCACGTGTGGGATATGATGGGTAGGAGATTGCTCAATTTGCAACGTCCTCCTCAGACTCTAGAAGCACTTCGAGAGGAGTTGGTGGTTGCCTGGAATGGGATACCACAGGAGGACATTGACCACCTGATCAGAAGCATGCCTAGGCGCGTTGGAGAACGCGTAGCACATCAGGGTGCATCCACACATTATTAAAAGTCAAAGGGCTTTAAAGCAGTGCAATCATTTTGAAATTTTTATCATTTACTTATTATGCTTCATTAAGTACTTATACAAAATTTGATTAAAATAAAACCATTTAAACTGGGTGTTCGGATTTATATGTCACTTAGTATAGTCATGCTCGGTTCCATATCAACTGCCTGTTACAAACTAATGGCGATACCTGCTTCTGGCGGGATGAAATCAGCTTCCTGGTAAATCTCGAAGCTGATTTGTACAATCAGCAACAGTGCGAGAGCAACAAACTACAGCGAAATTGATTAATAGCTGTGGAGAATACTGCATCGGAGTCGAGCCAGAACTGAAGCCGAGATTCAACTTCGGCTGCACAAGAAAGGTTCATAATTTATCCTGATTTATCGCGTTTGCTTAATGTTTTAAGGCTAAATCCTGAAACCGGCGCTCCTAGCCAGAATAATGGGGTTTATTTAGGGAAAAATCTTTGTTTAATACTGACATATGCCGCTGTTCGGGGTACAAAGCCTTCCGCGTTTTTGCAGGTTTCGTACATTACGGGGTCAGGATCTACAGGGTGTCCCAGAAGTCGACGTCAAGCCGAAACCGGGTGATAGGCAAAATCATAACAGCTATCAGAAAAATATTTAAAAAAATTTTCTGTATGTGTTTTGAAAATTATAGGTCTTTGAAAAAAATATAGAAATTTCACACCCTACGGCAGTCTGTCAACTCCTGTTACTACAAATATTAACTTTTTTTGGATTTTATTTTTACAATGTAATGATGAATAATGCATCTTCAAACTGGTGTCTCAACCTTACTGCCAACTTTTCTCGTTCAGGAAAAATTGCCACTTATTTCCCAACCAAGTATTCCGAAGTAAAACTTCGCTCAACTTTAACTGGCTGTACTGGAAAAAAATGTACTACGAGAGTTTGGCAAGTAACCTTAAAAGTTGGCGCATTTAATAAGGATTCCAAAATGGTATAACACTTAGAAGATTACTCGTTAACTTATGCACAATTTTTATTTGAAGAAAAACTGATGAAAATTTTTCAAAATTTCCTAATTAAACAGCGATTATGAAAACGCACAAGGACCCTTAAGGATAACTGTTTGCATAACAGTGGGCGTCAAAATGCTGCTGATGATGATTTACCTTTACAGCAAATGCTCAAACTGTTTTCCTTCAGCCGCAATACACGCTCGACATCTTCTTAAAAAAGATCGGGTTATTAAACGAGCGAATCCACGATTATTAACAAACTCAGCTGCTTCCAATAGTCTTTGCCGTAGCTCAGCTACATTTTGAATCGGCTTGAAATACACTTTTTCTTTTACAGTTCCCCAGTAAAAAAAATCTAACGGATTCAAATCTGGTGACCGGGCTGGCCACGGTATTGTACCAGACCGCCCTATCCATCTGCCTGGAAAGTTTTGATCGAGATGCTCTCTCACTGAGAGTGCATAGTGCGCTGGGCAGCCATCATGCTGAAACCACATGTCCCTGCAAATACTCAGTGGCACGTCCTCCAATAAATTTTCTAAATGATTTTGCAAAAAATCTAAATAAACCTCAGCAGTCAAAGTTTCTGGGAACTCAAACGGACCGATTATTTTACCATTTAAAATTCCTGTCCAATGGTTTATCTTGAAGCGATATTGAGATTTATCTTCGCTCATTAAATGTGGGTTTGCTACGTGCCACTCGTGTAAGTTATGCAGGTTCATGTACCCATCTTTCTTAAATGTGGTCTCATCTGACCATAACATTTTTTCAAAGAACCGTGGATCTTCCCTGTGTCTTTCTAACATTGTGCGACAAAAAGCAACTCGGTACTCATAATCCCGGGGCAGAAGAGCTTGAACACGCTGTACGTGGTATGGATGGAGAACATTTTTTTTTGCAAGATTCTATGGGCTGTACTTTTGGGCACACCTGTTTTTAGTTCTATTGCACGCACTGAAGTACTCGGGTCTTCTTCGACAGCTCCTAGCACCACGTCTTCGTAAGGAATGAAAGATCTTCCCTCACCGTGTGATTGGTTTGGTAGTTGGCCCTCTGAGAACAGTAAGCGGTGCACATTTGTGAACACTCGATAATCTGGATGACGAGCTGCATTCGGGTACCTCTCACAGTAAAGTCTCGCTGCAGCACTAGCGTTGCATCTGCATTCCCCATAAATGAGGTGCATGTTAGCATATTCTTGTACGGTGTACACGGACATAGCGGCACTGCACAATCACACTATCAAAGATAGTCTAAGGAAAGCAAATATTGTTTTGAAGAGCAATTAAACAGTACAAATCCAAATCACAAGCGATTAACAGTCCAGTTCACGAATCCAAAATTAGTAACAGTACGAAATCAACAAGCACGAACATGTAAAGATGCGCAGTAAACGAAGGAGTACTGATCGGTATCAAAGTCTGCAATAGCAAGTAAGTGATGTGCTTCATCCATACCACATACAGCGTGTTCAACCTCTCCTGCCCCGGGATTATGAACCCCGAGTTACTTTTTGTCGCACAATGTTAGAAAGACACAGGAAAGATCCACAGTTCTTTGAAAAAATTGTATGGTCGGATGAGACCACATTTAAGAAAGATGGGTACATGAACCTGCATAACTTACACGAGTGGCACGTAGCAAACCCACATTTGATGAGAGAAGATAAATCTCAATATCCCTTCAAGATAAACCATTGGACAGGAATTTTAAATGGTAAAATAATCGGTCCGTTTGAGTTCCCAGAGACTTTGTCTGCTGAAGTTTATTTGGATTTTTTGAAAAATCATGTACAAAATTTATTGGTGGACGTGCCACTGAGTATTTACAGGGACATGTGGTTTCAGCATGATGGCTGCCCAGCGCACTATGCACTCTCAGTGAGAGAGTATCTCGATCAAAACTTTCCAGGCAGATGGATAAGGCGATCTGGTACAATACCGTGGCCAGCCCGATCACCTGATTTGAATCCTCTAGATTTTTGTACTGGGGAACTGTAAAAGAAAAAGTGTATTTCAAGCCTATTCAAAATGTAGCTGAGCTACGGCAAAGACTATTGGAAGCAGCTGAGTTTTTTAATAACCGTGGATTCGCTCGTTTAATAACCCTTCTTCTTTTTTAAGATGTCGAGGGTGTATTGTGGCTGAAGGAAAACAGTTTGAGCATTTGCTGTAAAGGTAAATCATCATCAGCAGCATTTTGACGCCCACTGTTGTGCAAACAGTAATCCTTAAGGGTCCTTGTGCCTTTTTGATAATCGCTGTTTAATTAGGAAATTTTGAAAAATTTTCATCACTTTTTTTTCAAATAAAAATTGTGCATAAGTTAACGAGTAATCTTCTAAGTGTTATACCATTTTGGAATCCTTATTAAATGCGCCAACTTTTAAGGTTACTTGCCAAACTCTCGTAGTACATTTTTTTCCAGTACAGCCAGTTAAAGTTGAGCAAAGTTTTACTTTGGAATACTTGGTTGGGAAATAAGTGGCAATTTTTCCTGAACGAGAAAAGTTGGCAGTAAGGTTGAGACACCAGTTTGAAGATGCATTATTCATCATTAGATTGTAAAAATAAAATCCAAAAAAAGTTAATATTTGTAGTAACAGGAGTTGACAGACTGCCGTAGGGTGTGAAATTTCTATATCTTTTTCAAAGACCTATAATTTTCAAAACACATACATAAATTTTTTTTAAATATTTTTCTGATAGCTGTTATGACTTTGCCTATCATCCGGTTTCGGCTTGACGTCGACGTCGTTGTATATCTATTTTTGTTTTGCTGAAAAATTTCCAAGCCGGAACATTTGCTTACCTGCCAGCAACCGCCGGTGGCGGTATAACCCTGCGCATCTTCACGTTCCCCGTATCGGCCAAATCCGCGATGGTCAGTTGCACCTGGGGGTTCGCAGTACCCGGTCGAGGGTACCTCAGTGACCGGATATCCGGGTACAACCTGCTACCGGTCGTGGTGGCCGATGGGGAACCACCGTACCACGGAAACCGGAGCTCGCTGACCAAGGTGTCGTTGAAGGTCGCGAAGCAGAGTAGGAGGCCGTCGCGTGACATCCATAGAGCGGTGTTGGTTGCTAGGATCTCTTCTGAAATCAATAGAACAGGATAGGGTAGAATACTTTGATTAGCCATGTGATGTAACGATACATATCGGTGCACTTTGGCAAGTCAAAAGGTGTGAACACATATAAATACAGGCTGTAAACATTATGGCAGTTATTATTTAAATGGGTAATATGGGGTCAAGACAAGACAAAAAGTTCATATGACCCATGGTCCAAAAGTCAAGGGATTTTTGTCTAAATGGCTTTATATGGGGTTGTCCAAAACGAACGCAGGAAAGTAAACGCATATTAAAACATTTATGTATGAAAAATAATATCGCTCAAATGTTCACCACGACTGGATTTACAGACGTCCACGCGATGGTCGAAATTTTCAATGACATTTTGCAACATGGTCGGTTCTATGGCATTTATCTCGGCAACGATGTTGTTTTTGAATTCTTGGAGGGTGGCTGGTTTGTTGACGTAGACTTTGCTTTTCAAATATCCCCATAAAAAGAAGTCCAAGGGAGTCAAATCGCACGATCTTGGTGGCCATGGCACATTTCCTCTGCGCGAAATCACGCGATCACCGAAGAAGGACTGCAATCGATGGATATTGACGTTGGTTGTGTGGCATGTTGCACCGTCTTGTTGGAAATAAACATCGTCCATATCCATTCCTTCAAGTTGCGGCGAAAAATAGTCCTCTATCATCACGTGATATCGCTCAGAATTGACGGTAACGGCGTCCCCGGCCGCATTTTCGAAAAAGTAAGGTCCGACGATGCCTTTTGACCACAATGCACACCACACAGTCACTTTTTGAGGATGCATCGGCTGCTCTTGATACTCACGGGGATTTTCGTTCGCCCAGATGCGGCAGTTTCGCTTGTTTACCGTCCCATTCAAAGTGAAATGCGCTTTGTCGCTGAACATGATTTTTGATGAAAAATTGGCATCAATTTGGCGGTGTTCAAGGAGCCAATCTGAGAACGTTAGGCGCGAAAAATGGTCAGCCCGACGCAGCTCTTGCGTCAATTAGATCTTGTACGCGTGTACATGCAAATCCTTGTGGAGAATGCGGAGCAAACTGGTTCTCGAAATGCCCAATTCTTGAGATCGACGCGTTGTTGATTGTTTCGGATCGTCTCTCACACTCTCCTTCACAACAGCAATATTTTCCGGTGTGCGAACGCTCCTTGGCCGGCCAGAGCCTGGCAAATTTGCCACAGAACCTGTTGCCTCGAATTTACGCACCAGACGACCGATGGTTGTTTCGTTTGGGCGGTTGTTGCGATCGAAATGTTCACGAAGCGCGCGAAACGTGTTTTTTATTTTTGCACCATTTTTGTAGTGCTCTTGAATAACTTTAATGCGGTCTTCACTCGAATACGACTCGATAGCGATGAATGGTAAACATTCAACTAACAAAATGACATGTCGGTGACAGGAAACAAAGATGGCGTCTATGTCAAATTGACGTTTACTTTCCTGCGTCCCTACAGTTAGTGGTAAGTCGGTTTTTTTAAATGTTTGCATTTTACGAGTACATTATCAAATAATGAAATAATACCTAAGAGCCAAAAATAAAAAACTGTGTTCCGTCGTAATTAATATCAAAACGATGATAATAACGTTTGAACAAAAAATTAGCAGAAGAAATGAAACATGGAATATATGAAAACGTTTAAGAATCAAGATTATTTATATCTGAGGAGTTATAAAAGCATTTTGGACTAGAATATTTTTTAAGCTTGTCCTAGATATTAGCAATGAATTCGTGTGTTAGAACAGACAATCCCGGCGTACTTAGGGGACTTCTTGAAAAACATGTAAGAAGACGATGCCTTTTGAAAGTAGCTAGATTCTGCTTAATGTGAACAAGTATACTAAGTGACATATAAATCCGAACACCCAGTTTAAATGGTTTTATTTTAATAAAATTTTGTATAAGTACTTAATGAAACATAATAAGTAAATGAAAAAAAATCAAAATGATTGCACTGCTTTAAAGCCCTTTGACCTTTAATAATGTGTAGATGCACCCTGATGTGCTACGCATTCTCCAACGCGCCTAGGCATGCTTCTGATCAGGTGGTCAATGTCCTCCTGTGGTATCTCATTCCAGGTAACCACCAACTCCTCTCGAAGTGCTTCTAGAGTCTGAGGAGGACGTTAAAAATTGAGCAATCTAATACCCATCATATCCCACACGTACTCAATTGGGGATAAGTCGGGAGATCTTGGTGGCCATGGTAACAATGTGACATCATTATGTTGAAAGAAGTCTATTGTGACTCTTGCAACATGTGGTCGGGCGTTATCTTGTTGGAAAGTTGGATCTGCCAGGGTGTCAAGATAGGGTAAAAGATGGGGTTCTAGAACTTCGTGGATATAATGCTGCGCGTTCATGTTACCTCTGATGAAGATTAAAGGTGACCTGGAACCATAAGCTATAGCTCCCCAAACCATAACTCCAACAGTGTGATGAACATGTCTTTCAACAAAAAACTGTGGATTCCCCCTTTCACCACAAAATCGAGACTCGTCACTAAAGACAATACTGTTCCATTCCTGATCCCAGAGTGACCGTTGTCTGCACCACTCAAGGCGATTACGTCGGTGTTCTCGAGTTAAAGGGAGGACCCAGTGTGGCCGGTATGAAAACAAGCCAAAACTTCTTATTCGTCGGTAAACACTTCGCATGCCAATAGGTCTTCCATGTTCTGCAAACCATTCATTTGCAATGGACGTGGTAATGGAGAAACGGTCCCTTAAGGCCAATAATCTTAGGCGGCGATCTTCACGGTCTGTTGTTCTACGGCGGCGTCCAGTGCCCCTTGCTCTTTGTGTACGGCCTTCTCGAAGCCATGCCTGACAACACCTAACCACAGTGTCTACACTTCTTTGCACTCTAACTGCAATTGCCCGAAAAGAAAGTCCAGCTTCCCGAAGTCCCACTATACGGCCCCTATCAAACTCACTAAGTTGACGAAATCGTACAGGTCTCCGTACTCTAGGCATCGTAACCGATCGTAAAGGATGTCAAGAACCAAAATCCGCCAACGTTGAGCGTTAGTGAATTAAAAAAAAGCAGTATAAAACCGGAATGTCCAACTGATAAGGCTGAAAATTTTTTCACTTGTTATTTACAGTAAGATAAATTCATTCACCAACTGTTCGGATTTATATGTCACTAGTATAGTTTGAAAAGATATGTTCCCACATCTGTTGATAAATGTTTCTCAATAAATGTATTGCGCCATAATTCAATGGACTGATCAGTCATCAGTACCACTAAAAAGTCGCAAGTAAAAATCTAAAGACGTATTAGTGAAAGGAACCATCAAATGAGACCCGCAGTGCTGTGATTTGCCAAAATATGTTCTGGCAAAAACACAGTGACTAGATCAGGAATCGATCAGAATTATCATTAGCACAAGAAAACTAAAAGTGGCATCGGATTAAGAGTGTCAACCCAGGAAACGCATCTTCATCCTGATCACCTAGGTTAACAATTTTTAAAAAGTTTTATTTTATAATACGCAAAGTTGGGGTTTTCCTTTGCAGAAACAACTACCCTTGAAATAACAAAGGTAATGTGTAGTGAAACGAGGGCGACCAAGTAAAAAAAAAATAAAGGAAAAAGTACTCACTCTCCAGTTGACGAGAAGGGCTAAGTACGTCTCTGCCCGAAATCATACCGCTCCAACAGAAAATCAGCTGATGCGCTACCGAGCAGGCGCAGGCAAACAAAGAAGGCAAAATGTTGCGTAAAAAGTCTAGGTATTGCATCCCGTCCAATCGATTTGGGAGAATAAATGGTCCAATGAGCATACCGTTCACCATGCCAGCCCAAACATTCACCGAAAATGTTTGTTGAAAATGTGCCCGACGGACAGCGTGCGGATTTTCTACCGACCAAACATGAGTGTTGCGAAAGTTATTCACCCCATTACGCGTGAACGTAGATTCGTCTGTCACCAATATGCACTTCAAAAAGTCCGGATTATTGTCATGTTGATGCAACAAACACTCACAAAACCGCACTCTTGCTGGAAAATCGTCAGGTCGAAGGGCTTGTACAACGGATACAGCCCCTCTTCACGCAGCGTTTGCCACACTTTAGTTTTTGATACTTGCACTTCTCTAGCCGCGTCTCTAGTGCTTGTTGAGGGATTCTCGTCTACGCGATTACCTCTACACGCGTGACCGTAACCGTCGGTTGAAGGTTGCATACTGACCTAACACACTGATCCCGACCCAGTTCTGTCGTCGGGTTGAGCTAGTTTCCTAGTACCACTCGGGGATGTCGCGGCTACAGGACGGTATTCAGATATTTTTGATGTTGCAGAGCCCTTTATCTCGGTTCCCTTAAGACATTATATGGTACTAAGAAAAATTGCTTGTGTTTTCAAGATCTACACGTCGTGTAAAGGAAAACCCCAACTTTCCGGACACCCTGTATAATTTTTGCCTGAATGTCGAATTAAATGGGCTTCGATTTCAGTCTTAGCGATCCAAAAATCGTACCATAAGCATGTTTGCACTCAATATCCCGACTGAGCCATTTTTGACGGATTTCGCTTACACGGTCACTGAAACCTCGTTGACATACATGCAGGGTGGCCCAACGAAAGGGTCGTACCTCCATTTTTGTGACTCTCCTGGTATGCCTTGAGAAAAATGTTCGGACACGTCAATTTTGATTTCTGGGACTCTTTGTAACGCATCGAATAGCGTACTGCGTGGAACGGTAAGCCTTTCTGCGGTATACCGAATACGACGACCGTCATCTTGTTCCGGTGTCCTTTTTGTTGATTATTGCTCGACAAGAATCTTTTTGACATGCCATAACAGACACAACCTGTTATGGCCATGATTCGCATGATTTTCTTCAATAACACTGATCAACAGCCAAAAAATATCCTAAATAAAATCAACAAAATATTACTATTTTTGATGTGCTAAAACCGGAATGAAACTTATTTTTTCAATATTAGTTCAAGTTTTAGAGATACGGTAATTATATGTGTTCC